TTGATGTAAGAGTTTTACTGAAATCTAAACTATATTCTAGAAAATATTTACAGGTTTATAAACTATTGCTAATTAGAAGTGTTGCAATCTTTGAAAAAAATGAAAAGTCGTAATGAAAGGTTATCCTTTGATTGTGTAGTACCAATTTGTACAATTTCTATTTAACGAGGCCCAATCTAGTTGGAAATCACAAAAACGGAATGATAAAAAATTTTGAATTTTTGAAATAAATTTGTATGTATTATGCTAAGAAAAATTAAAATGAAATTTTGTTACCTTGCCTTTATTGTAGTCAAATAGGGGCACTTTCAAGATATGGACAATTTTTTGTGTTTTTATACACAATTATATACTAAAACTCCACAATAAACAAAGAAATTGACTAATTTAAAAAAAATAAATGGTGAAATGTTTTGATTTTAACATATATTATTCAATATGCATCCCTCTATTAAAAAATGAAAAGAAAATCGGAGGTAGCCTTTATTGCAGTGAAAAGGGGACATATCAAAACACAAAAAGAGAACTTATTTCATCCAACTAGATATTTTATAAGTTGCAATAGGTTTACATAACATCAACAAACGATTGTAATACGAATTAGTTGCTAAAAATTAAATCATTTTTACACTATATTATTTTCTCTTTATGCTCAATAAAAAAGATGAGCATAAACACTTCAACATGTTCGAGAAGAAAGACTGAAATCGTTTAATTTTGGTGCAGCGGGATTTCTTTCTAACTCGCAAATTGAAATAAAACAAAATAAATTTAATGAATCTGTAGAAGATATTGTTACCTCAAAATAAATTATGTTTCAAAATTGTTTATTAATTAAAATATTTATATTTCTAAAAACATGTAAGTAACAAAAATGCTAGAATGAGCCAGCTTTCAACAAACACAGTCTTTAGAGCAAAATCAGCGTAACGTTTTAGATTTGACGTCATTTTAATTGTGACGTTATTGTATTCAATTGTGACGGCATACAAGGGTACTGTGACGTGCGTGGGTCGTCGCTGCGTTACAATGTATGCGCAGATCAAGTAGATCGGGCCTCGTTAAGAATTTTCTTGTATTCATTTTTTGAAGCAAAAGATATATAATCAACTAATATTTTTGTTGTGTTTCTTTTGGTGACTTATTACTGCATCAAAATATTTGTAAATATGCTTATTTGGAAGAGGAATTTGTAAAAATTTTGTTCTGTCATTTTTATTGATTTGTTGTCACCCTTTGATGATTTATAGTTACATTATTGTTTTTAAAATACGACCATTCCATTTTTTTCTGTTTGGGGTCCACCCATTCTTTTTTAAACTACTTACCTACAAAGATTTAGAGAATGGATAAAATTTAAACAGTTTGGCTGTATAATCAATTTCTCAAAGACTCATCCTTTTTTTGATTTTTGATTAAATATGTATCCAAAAACTAAAACGCACGCGGACGCTAAGCATAAAAAATGGAATGGTATCGTACAAAATATATGTGAACCCAATTTTTTATAACACATTATTTTCTGCTCAATACAAAAAACCGTATAATCTTTCAAGTAGGTGAATTAAGATATAGTGAAACCTGTCTAAACCTACATGCAATGGGAGGCACATTTTGTGTCAGAATAGGCAGTGTGTCGGGTTGCACAGTGTAAAACATTTAAAATAGTGAAATGTTTAAAATATCTAACGTCGGATTTCACATTGTTACACACTTGGACAGTGTCGGATTGGACAGTTTTTTTTACTATATATTATGTAAGTAACTACGAAAACACTCATGCTGAAAACATTACTTGTGAAAAAAAAATGCAAACAACAAAAGAAAGATACACATCTTTAAGACAATTTTTATTCTTTTTTTAGAGATGCGAGTCTAAAAGTTAAAAAGCTTCTGTAAAATGTTTTTAAAAATACAGAGCATAATTTTTCATTAAAATGTTTTACTTGATTGGATGAGGAAGAAATTTATATATAGTAATTTTTTTAACTTTATATGTGTGACTTATATAATTTTGTTTTGGAACCCTATGGTACACGTTTAACTCTTGAATTTGAAAGCATGGTAGGATTAAACTATTTGATTAGACTAGGATTGATTTTTAGAACCAGACTGCAGGGGATGATATATTTTAAATACAGCAGTTGGAAAATTAGCTTTGTTTGACTACTAAACTGTTTCTCTGATTGCAGTCCATTGCACAAATAGTAACTAAACATAAAAAAAAATTATTGCATAAAGGCGTAAGGTGAAAAAATGCCCTCTCTCAATCTTAAATTTTCTCAATGGAAATCAAACATTCCCTTTAAATGTGAATTCTTGTTTGTGCAACGGATGGCAAAGAAAACGTGCAGTCAGATAAGTTAAAATGCACATGGAATATTTCAAAATTAAAGTTACGCAGAGTAGTGATTCTATACTATTTACCGGGGAGGGTGGGGGGGTTAATATATATGAAAATATTGAAAGAATTTTAGGGTATAGACAGATATACAATATTTGAGAGGCAGGTTTGGATAAATTAATAAATACCCCATTTATTACAATTTCTTGAGCTTTTTTACTCATTTTTTTTCTTATTTTAGTTGTTATTTTTCAGTAAAATAACGTTAAGAATTTTTTTTTAAAAAATGCAATCATTCATCAGAGCAGAACTATAATTATCATATAAAGTTGTAATTGCTAAACGTTGTTAATATTTTGGTACTAGTAAATCAAATCTTTTTTTGTTTTTAATCATTATATTTGCATACTGAGTGGTAGTTGCTAAACATTGTTAATATTTTGGTAAATTAAATCTTTTTTTGTTTTTAATTAGTGTTGCATTTGAAGGTGCTTAGACACAAATTTAATTGATTGGTTGATTATTATTGTCTCACGCCGAGTCGGCAACATTTCAGCCATATTTCGGCGAGACAAAATTTGAAAAAAAAAAATGTTTTCTCAAATTTTAATTGCATTTCATTTTCTATTGCATTTCACTCAAAAATATATTCTAAAAAACTGACTCTATCTGGAAAATATTGAAACTACGAATTTTGAGACGCGTTTGATTGACAAAAACTTGCACTTTCACAAAGTAAACTATATCCTTAATACTTATAAAAGTAGAAAATTTGTTTTCTATTCATAGAAATTATTAAAACTGTTATCCAGAAAATTCAGAGGAGAAATTTGAGAAAGCATAACCAACTCACCAGTATTGTCAGTCTGTGCTCATTGGTGTGTGCATAGTTTAACAAATCGAACACACCTATGAAACGTAAACAATAAAAAAAAACATTTACGTTTCACCAAGTGTGTTCAATCGTTTAACTCTACGCACATCACTGAGCATAGATTGACAATAGTAGTGAGTGAGTTTTACTTTCTCAAATGTCTACTCTAAAGTTTCTGAATTATAGTTTAAAAAAATTATTAATACACAACAACATTCGTACTTTTCTTGAGTATTCAGGATAAAGTTAAAATTTAGGAAAGTGCACGGATGTGTAGATTGAACGCGTCCCAGAATTCGAAGTTTCAATAACTTCCAGAAAAAAATTATTATATTTTCGTGTGAATTGCTAAAGCACCATATGAGTCGTGCTATTATACCAAAAATTTAAGAAAAGATTATCTTCACATCTTTGTCTAAGCACCTTTATAATTTAAATTGTTAGTGGTATCTCATGTACGCATATATAAAATTATATTAACGTACTAGCTTTCAATTTGTTTCAAAGTACTGGGAAATTTGTTGACTCATTTTCACTCTGGCTGCCAATTTTAATTATAAAGAAATTGTGTTTTGAATTTTAAATGAGGATTTCTTGAAAAATGGGGAAACTTTTATCTTAACTATTTGTGCCTAACAGAAAATGAAAACAAATATCCCAGTATATGACATGTATGTGCCTGGTGTTAATTAATTCACATATGATAATAAAACTTTCTTTGCTTTTGGCGTCATTTTTTCAATATTTATCAAAAATTACCGAGTACACATCCCATCCATGTACGAGGGGGTATCAAAAAGTTTCAGTGAATCTCATCAAGACAAGTACGTCAAGAAACTAATAAATGACGACGGCGCCGGGAGGTCATTATATGTAGTTTTTATTTTATAATAATGTGGCACATAATGAACGTACCAAGCTAAAATTTTCAACATTTCTTTATTGTCTGTTGTTTTATGTTCCTTATTAATCCTCAGTCCACGAAGTTTTTGACTTTTGGATGTATACAGGTATATTCATGCTTTTTTATCGATATATATATATATATATATATATATATATATATATATATATATATATATATATATATATATATATATATATATATATATATATATATATATTCAGAAAAAACAATGGTTTACATGTATATACCAAAATGGCATAATATCTGAAATGTAAAAGTTGGTTGAACAAAGAAGAAATTTGAGCATTTGGACCTCCAATATGGCAGCCAACGGGAAGTAACTCTAGCTGATTTAAGAACTATCGAAAACTACCGGCATCCATACTGCAAATCAGTAATCCATTGAAAATGGCATAGTGCATATGGTTTATAGTGACAAAATGGTAAAATTACACCGACAGTTTATACACAACTAATAAATTTATTTACTTAACGTTATTGAAAATTGAAAAAGTTCTAAATTTTAATGAATAACATTGCCAAAAAAAAAAAAATTAATAAACATGTACTTCTAAAAATAAACTTTTTAAAAAATCAGCTGTATTCTAAGATCTTAGTCTAATTCATATTTAACCCCCCCCCCCCCTCAAAAAGGTAGGAAGAAGACTTTAAATTGCATAAAAGGTCAATAGTTATTTTATTTTTTTCTTAACTCTTGTGTAATAGTAGAATATTAAGCAGAAAATGTCCATAGTTTTATAATTGACATTTTACGTAAAAATTACCATCTTCGCTAGCCAAGGGTTTCTGATACGTTACGTTACTCTCCTCATGAACTCATGATTATGAGGAGAGTAGCGTATCAGAAACCCTGGGTTAGCGAAGATGAAAAATTACAGACATCCCTTAAATCATCATTTTCAAAATACAACGTAATGAAACTAGATTATACTTAAAAAGTTTTAAAAGCGTTCTTCTTGGATGACAAGATTGATAGCAGGAATCGAAGACTTTAGACCATCTGTGGACGGTTCTAGTAGTTTTGAGTATAAAACACGACTGCAAATCAAACCCAGTATGATAAAAACTAGGCCAATACCCGCCAGAATTACGGAGAAGGGTGTCTGAATTTCAACTTCTATGACCTTTAGGTTCAATAGACTGAGTGTGGATTCCACAGTGTCTAACGCCACTTGAACCGTTGCTACAACCATTCGGAGAATCAAGATGGATTCAGATACAGCTGTAAACGATAAAAATTTTAGAGTAAGAAAGTCTTAGTCATTATCTATTATTTCATAATATAAGTGTAATAAGATGCTTTGCATTGCTGACGAAAAAATCATTGATACCTATTAATTGTGATGAATTAAAAAAAATTATTTTTTTCCCACTTGGAAATAGAGATCATTGGTGTCTTACCGACATAATGTAAAGCCATTTGAAGGCACACAATTTGTAGTCTTACCAGCCAAAAGTAGGACAATTCCACCGGCTTTAACCTTCGATGATGATCCACAGTTTAACATTAGAAGTAAAAAGCCAATGACACATAATGATAGGGCAACTATACTCGTTATTTGAAGTTCTAATAACTTAGCTTAAAAAAAAAAAAAAAAAAAAAAAACAGAAAAAAACATAGATCTGAGAAGAAATTCCTGAATCTTTTGAAAAATCTTGTTACATATATTTTTTTTCTTTTACAGAAAACAACTGTACATGTACATAAAAAAAAAAATATGATTGAACTTTGTTATAATAAAATTGGGGGTTTTCAAAAGTTTTTGTGGCATATTTTTTAAACAACTCAGTGTAACTTGTATCTGTATGATTGAATTAATTCTTAATATAAAGATGTAAATAACAATTAAGAGAAGAAAATAATAGCATACGGAGTTTCTCCAGCAGGGCAGATACTGGTGAAGGAAGTTTGTCGAGGGGGACATGAAGGCAATTACCACTCGTACACAGCGTACAATGAAATATGCCCAGTTCTACACGAACAGGTGGCAAAGAAATCTGAAATAAAAAAAAAAAATCAAAATCCGAATTCATTTTGTTACCCTATATTTTTAAAACAGTAAGTATCGAAAATTTTAAAAGAATAAATCAATTTACCCCTTCTATTCAAATTTCAAAATATAAATTAGAAAAAAAAAACCAAAAGCCTTTATCTTTATTTTAGGGAAAATGTGCAAATCAAATTGAAACTTCATTTTTTTTTTTCGAACAAAGCTTACTCTTTTGGATGGAATAATGTTGTCGAGATTTAAAAGCGAGTTCAAGGACAAAATTTTCTGCAAAATAAAGGAGAAATCACTTAATAAGTTATTGCATCTTTGTAGAACAATTTCATTTAAAGGATTTAGCTGAAGGTTGCATTTATATAAAAACAAGCTTTATTTATCAACACATAAAGACACATACTTGTACGATTATATCACTGCATCTTTTGATTAATAATTTAAACTTTTAGATACCCATCTCTTTATCTTCATTTGATTATGTTACGAATTTTCCATGTATGTTTCTTCTATATTAACCAAGTTCTATCCGTCTATCAACGCAGTATAAATACCGTTTTAATGAAGTATATATATACTTTTCACTTATGGTACTGCCGTTTGGATACACACAATGCTTAAACATTTAAAGAACATAAAAGACTTACCTTAAGAATGGATGTCGGCTGAATGCTAGTTGTTTTTAAAGTTACAACAAACCAGCCTCTTGTTAAAATGGACGCAAACCACAAACCCAAAGCAATAAACACTGTCTTCAAAGTTAACAATAATGCGAGTCTTCTGTCCATTTTGATCGTCTCAGGTTTGAAAAAGTTGAAACCTTGTGAAAATATTTTCAAACTGTCACTCCATGCATAAATGAATTATGTCTTTCGCTTTTGTGCATTAGATGTAAAAGTTTAATTAGTTTGAACTTTGCAACCATCCCTCCTTCATTTAAGACGAATTAACTAGTTAATTATATAAATTAATTAGATCATTGACAAGTCGACCTTTGAAATTAAGGAAAATTAACAAAATGTATTTCAAAAATATCAGCGAAGTTCATTTCTTCAAATGTTTTTTATTCCGACACACAATTCAAACAGCATAAGAAAAATGCACGACAATTACCATTAAGTGGTTACCATAACTAAAAGAAACACTTAGCCAATATATGCAAATAAATGCCTTTTATCTGAAAATTTCGCAACCTTTTTAATCATTTCTCTTATATAACTACACGTGCAAATAAACTATTTTGTTATGAACTGTCCGCGTGTACGTTGTTTTTTTTTTTTTAGCTCGCCGAACCCTATTAATATACCCATTGGTCTATATATGATGATATTTACAACAATTATTACTCTTTAGAACAAATATTTACATTATGCAAAAGACTGCACCTACATTGTTTTAAGACAAGACAAGTTTTTTTTGCTCATTTAACAAACAGGAATATCAAGCTCTTTGTTTCAAAGGTTTTTCAAATGGGAGAAAATCGCAGCAATACATGCTAAAATTATAATAACATTAAAGTGACATTTCGAAGGTTGAGTTTTGGATTGAAGACAAGTTAAAAAACAATTTCCTTATATCAACTTTTGAACAGAAAACGTTTTTGCATAAGCCTAATTTACTTTGATCCCTTTGTGGTATCTTCAAGTCCTTAGAGTCGTAGACGTGAATGATTGAAATGCAGAAAGATTGACTTGCCAATTTAAAGTTTTTTTAACCACTTCAGGTGAGCTCTGCATCCCAGTGTATTAAGAAGTAATGCTTAAAAATAGAAATTATAATAACAAACATAAAAACTTCCTGTGTACTTTACTATAAGTATACTAATGACGTATTGCACTTGTCGATTCACTTTTTGTCCTACTTTTATTCGGAATAAATTGTGACTGTTTACCATAAACACGGGATTCAGTGATATAATTATTTCTGTAAAATAAAATACTTACTTTTATAAAATGGAAATGATTGCAAAAAAACAAAAAAAAAAAAAAACAAACAAGTGATATAAATATCATGAATCATCTGTTAATTAGCATACTGTGCATTTAATTCATTTAAAAGAATATTCTATTTCTTTTATACATCCATATCAAATTAGTAACGATTTTTAAAAATATTTTTTTTCTTTTTTGTCTTTTTAATATTTCTAAATAAAAGTTGTTTTGGCTTTTAGAATGATATCTTATCAACATCTTGAAGTTCCAAATTGTGCACAAATTGTCATAATGAATAAATGAGTCATTTAAGAAATGAAAACAGAACCTTTTCAACGTCCTAGAAGCTTCCTACTCCAACTACTTCAAAATGTTTGTTAGCTAAACTGACGCTGCCAAGCTATGCATTTGCCCAGAGGAGTAATAATAGTTTCATTTTGGAACATGGAAATTTACAGGGTACTTGTATAAGAAAAATGTTTTATTTCAAGATAAAAATTTTAGTTAATACGTTTACCTTTTGGTATTTTCCGTATTTAACTAAAATTTCTAGAAATTCGTACTTTTCCATATGCCTCTTATTATGACTGTCTTCTTTTATGTTTGATATAAGAGAAAAACATGGAATCTGCAACCTTCAATTTAAATAAATGTTTTGAAATACTTAAGTATTAATATAAATTTAAATTATAACGGAAGACAAATAAATGAACAGCAAAAACCAAAAAGAAATTAATAAATGTTCATGTATAGTGTTGGAACGAAAGTTTAAACTACATACATTGTCGTTGTCTATTATATCCTGCGTAGAAAAAAGTTACTTAATTGAGTTCTAACCGCTTATATCTGTTGAAGGGCTAATGACACAGTTTTCCATTCCGGAAAACACTTTTAAAAACCAAAATTCAAACGACGTAAGAGGCTTTATACAAGTGCAAAAAAGTAATCTCCTCCGACTTTGTAATGATCTACAATGTATATTTAATTTTTCAAATTAGATGACAGATTTCAATTTTGATCGAGGTTCTATTTTATGAAACACAATCTGTTAAAAAATTTCAACATCTTTTCTTCTTGCTTAGAATTGGATATTTAGATATATTGACATTTAATTAATTAGCATGTTTTATTCAGATGTTGATGCTATGTATCCATATGATCTCGAAATTAGAAAAATCAGAGTCTGATAATTTGTTTTAAAAATAGATATTTATTTTTAAAAAGAACAAAACTTTCTAGCAATATAAAATTAAAACCGCTTTAGGCACATCGATGAATTTTAAAATATCTAGTAAGCATAATCTTTTCTATCTATAAAGTAAACCACAAATCATAAATTTTATTCTATGTTTTTTATATAAATTTTTTCGATTTAAGTTTAATTCAAAAAACGCTAATTTTGATACAAGTAACAACTTTTTAAAAATCTTGCCGGACGAATGTCATCAATATCTAAAGAACCTATAAGCATGATAAGTTATAAACGTTTACATTGGGGGAGGGGGGGCTAAATTATTTCATTAGAGTAAATTATGAAGACGTTGCACAATTAAGGAATGTTTTTAAGTTTTGTGTGAGTTATTTGTGTGTGAATCACACAGACTTGTCACGTAGGCATATTTCATGAAGCGCGACAACGCTTCTTGAAAAATATGCCTACGTGCAAGTCTGTGTGATTCACACACAAATAATTCACACTAAACTTTAAAACATTCCTTATATTTACATTTTACATGTTTGGAAGCAGAACAATATACTCAATATTTAAATTTCTTGCTGCCCTATCTTGTTTTACTTATACTAACGTCGCTGTAGCCTCATTGTGACGTCACTTTACGCACGTTTCTCCGTGTATATTTCTACGCGTGAGTATACACGAAAATGACTTAAAAACACAGAGAATGTAAATTTAACACCATGCATTCATTTTAAGTTGTGCGCTACTCATCAGAGCAATGGAAAAAAAATAAATTTTATATAAATAGAACGCATTTATATTGTTTGTATCACAAATAAAAAATTGAATATACATTACATGTACATGAATGTGGATAACAAGTGAACAATGAGTATAGTGTACATGTATATAATTAATCAATATAACATGATATGAAGAATTTTAAAAATAGCTTTGTTCTGTTTTTCGTTTGTTATGGAGACGCCACCACTTGCTGGTGGAAAGCTATAAATACTTTGCATTCAAGACCACTGAGCGTAATCGTTTTCATACTAACACATACGTGTTACGTATTGCGACTCAGGACTTGAAAGATACGGTGGCATCCGAAGGACCGATCTTCACTTCCAGCTCTGGATTCGAACCTGCGACGTAAAGATTAACACCTCAATAACTAATGTAAGTGATTCGTGCTGGAAAGCCGTGTGTCACAAGTGACATTGTGTCAATGTTTAATATGAGTTGATATTGTAGGTATTTATTGGTAATAGGTGTCTTTATTTTGGGCGTTAGGAGTTATCGTTTATTGCCTGACGTCACGGCGTCAGGCAGTATAAGGATTGATATTTCCAAGATCCGAAAATGTGCGACCATATCTAAAGAGCTAGATTTTGTGCAAGCTGATTTACATTGGAATTCTTTACCTGCATTTTAAAAGAAACAGTTTTCAGAAAAAAGAAAGATATTACTGATGCGAAATACTGCAGTGTTTACTTCCTTTAATCTTTTTGCATGGAACAGATTATTCCATATGATTTGCCGTTTCAACATGTCCGTGTATCCTTTTTTCTGAATTGCTATACTACTGGATCAGTCCATTTATATTCTACGAAAGGGGTGAATCGCTCTTTCCGCGCCAAATGACACTAGTAAACTATCTTCGCGCCTTTTCCTTGGATTGTTCTAATGTATGAATGGGTGTGCTAAAAGTTTGTCCTTTTAACTTCCTTCTAATGCTTCAGAAATTCTATCTTCATGTTTTATACCATTCTTTAAAACAACATATCGTATACATCAGTATACATGGTATATGGACATGTAACACTAAAGAAATGATTTTTCTAATTTGTTTACCGATCCCATGGTTGGTTTATTCCATAAATGGACGAATCCAATAATAATAAACAACGCAATTCAAGCCATCGTCTCCAGATGCATGATCTATTATATGTCTTTGTTCAGATGCACACGATAAATAAAAAAGTAGTGAATAATCTTGGATATTTCTTTCTACAAAGCCTAACTATTGAATTTACTTATTTCATTCTCAATATATCGTGTATAATTATATGATAGTGTCATCACCCTTCCCCTTTAAGAAAAAAAATAATGAACACACATTACGACTGTTTACTTCAGAGGAGAAAATACACTCCAACAAAATGTGTTTTTAATTATATCCATCTTTTAAAATGTTCACAATGCGTGATTTGACAACAGATTTTATAATAGGTGTTACAATGTAGCTTGAAATCAATTTAGATCTAAGGGCAGATCACTCCACTTGCAACCCCCCCTTCAACTACAAAGTTCTTTAGTATGCAGTGCAGAGATGATTCTTCTACAAGTTCAGTAAAATCAAGATTTCAATTACATAAGGTTCTCAAAATTTAAAGTTAGGATATTTTTTTAAACCCACAAAGTATTGCTCAAAAGGGTTATCACTCTTCATTCAGATAAATTGATTGATTTAGTCAGGCAAGCTTTTTAAAAAGCTGTTACTTGTTTCATTTAAGCACTATTGGCCACTGAGTTGTACTTTTTCTATTTTTATCAACATATACTCTTCGAATCCGTTTGATTAGTCTGGTCAATTATTTATACTATATTATACTTTCATGTAAATTAGTTGAATCTGATTGGTCGAGAAACATTTGCTAAAAAACACTACTACCCGCTAAATAATGAAGCACGCCCTCCAGCGTAGCAACAGTCAACATTGCTTGACGACGAGTGATATTCTGAAAAATAGCGGCTGCACAGAATTTATGCACGCACGGTTCACTGTTATGTGTATTTGTATAAAACATTCAGTATAATATAATAAATATTGCATGTAGTTGAGTGTACCATTGAAAATTTTCACCCCTCGAAAACCATTGTCAACCGAGGCGCAACCTCGGCTGCGCCTCGGTTGACAATAGTTTTCTTGGGGTGAAAATGTTCAATGGTACACTCAACTACATGCAATATTTATATAATATTGTGGGTGTTGGCTAGCATTTATCAGATAAGGACGTCGGGAATTAGTTTACCCTAGTGATCTTAGGTGTTTGCCTTGTATATAACCCATGCTGTGTGAACTTGATGTGTTCTGTTTCCCCTGCTGTGTGATCTTGGGATTCAGGAATGTTTATAGTGGCGTTGAGAGCAAGACCTGGAAAACGGCAGTATGTGTAGTTTGTATAAAATGCCACAGCTCAGTAAGTTTTTACACTTTACAAAGTTTTATTATTAGCTGTTTAAAGAGCAATATTCTATGTAAAACTGTAAGCAATAGAACAAGAATGCTTATATCATATTTACGTTCCAATTCATTTACTTGTTAAAAGACCAATATGTTTTCTTTCGTAATTTGTTTGTAAAATCTAGTATTTTGAACAGATATTTGTAATGAATATTTTATAAGAAAACCCTATGAAAATTGTAGGTGATCAAAATTGTATATAAAGCTTCTGTTTTGGACGGGAGAATGTGTTGACGTGGGGACTGGCTAAATCAAGGAATATGATGGACCGGCGGGGACAATAGGGACGATATGGTGGACAATGGATGACGTTGTGACGTGGTGTGAAACTCTCCACTTATTACCATGATAGAATTAGGGCCATTTTGATGTTTATTGTACATATGTAGATAAATTTATTGTTAATTTTTATAATTTTTTAAAAAATGTTTGTGGTTGTAAATTCTCATTTAAAGAACCCATCACAACTTGAGGTCAGTTGTGACACCGTGTCTATAAAAAGGTTACATAAATTAGATTCAACGGTCTGCAGACAGCATAGACTATGAGAAAGACAGCTGAAAATATGATAACTACAAGAAATTAGGAATCGCAACGGTTATAACTGACATGCAGAGTATGTTTACTAGTTTGTTGGGTATGCTAGGGCATCAACCATTGTTGTTGGAAACGTGGGATAAATAAAGCCCTTTAAGGATAAATGACCCAACAAACTTGACGGTGATACATGAATGGCGACAGGCGCGGATTCAGAAAGTTTTTCCCGATGGGGGGTTCCACATCAAAAATATACGTTCGAACAAAAAAGTAAAAAAAAACTTCCTGTTTCCTGAAATGAGAGAGGACACTTTCATAAGTCTATACGTACTCTATTTTTGTAATAGGGAACCCTTGGAGGGGGAAGGGGGGTATGATCAGATGAATATTTCGTCAGTTCATCGTCTTAGAAGTTTTTGTTCGTTTCTTTTTTATTTCTTTTAATGATTTAACTTCTAACTCCCTTCATAATATCACCGATATGTTTTTTTTCAAAGCTCGATCAAGATTCCTACAAAAAATAGCAGACTTTATATAATTCGTGCAGAATAGTCCGGGGAAAAAAGTGCAAAAACACGTAACCTTTTGGCGCGAAATGATTGTGTCACCCCTTACCTAGAAGACAAATGGACTAATCAAGTAGCATAGAAACGCAGAAAAAAGGTTTAACAGACATGTCCTATAGGAACTCACATGAAATGCATGTAAATAGCTGCTTGTAAAAACTACATGGTGTGTCCAAACAAATTAGGCCTTGAAAATGACATAAAAAGGGGGTGTTTCCTTTCCCATAATTCAATAAAGTTGATCTTGAAGAAACTGGTATAGACCTCGGAAATGTTTAGACTGGCTACGGAGAAATAAAATGCATCCATAAGACTTGTTTGTAATGCCAA